AATACTGACGTCATTTATGTTACTGCTTGATATAAACAAATATATAAAGTGATAAGAGACAGCTGCAATATCTTAGTTGTGTTTAATGGAGTCGATACACATATTCTGCGAAATATTCATCAAACATGGGTTTCAGGGACTATGGACATACTTAAGTTAAAAAAAACTTGTTCTCAAAAGTACAAGCTACCCACACAGATGTATGACGATAACTTGATATGAGCCCAGATCTAGGTATCGTATAGGTCTAGACAAAATTCTGGCTGAATGACTGCTATAATAATGACAGCAGCAGAGGAGGTGATGGACCAGAACTGAGTGACCCAGTGAGTATACGTAACAGGACATAAGTAAAAGCAAAGCGACAAAAATAAAGTAACTGGACGAGCTAACCCAATTAGAGATATTTCATGGTCAGTTAGACTCTTTGGTTAGAAGTTTTTGACCTTGACATTTCATTTTCGTAGGAAGCTTTATTTTTGAAACAAATTATAATTTAAGCAAGTGGTCTGTTCATCTTTGCTGCTGCTGTTTATATCCGCTTTAGTAAAGAATGGTGTAATTAAAATATAATGTACTAAAAGATTCTATGTTACTATTATTATATTACTTAAACTTATAATTCAAAGCAAATAATTAAATCAATGAAAACCATAATACAGTTATTTATTTCATGAAATGTAAATGGGGGTGGGAGCATTTGTCCATCCCTTGGGTTGCGTTTGTAAGAGGATGCTTTGTCTTATACTGTCAAGAGGTGTCTTTCTTAGGGGCTTCTTTACCTCCTACCCCTCCCGACCATAATTCGGCCCTGAATCAGCCATGTTATAAAAAACAAATATTATTGCTAGTGAGGCGAGAGTTGGAACGTTGTTTATGCCTGTTGTTCGATTCCCTTTACCTTTGTTTGATATTTGTACTTTCCACGACGACTTTTGTAAACAAATCCTGTTTCAAGCTGACACGCACCAGTGGAGAGATATCGCCTAAGGTCAGACTGGTTGTCTATCAGCTCTCTTTCACAAAGAAGCATTTTTTTTTCAGAGCTGCGTATATGATTACGGTCATGATGACATTCCGAAAATATTTTGTCCAATATATCATCGGCCATGACAACATGCCGACAATTTAATTTATTTTAGGTCAAATACGTCATCGGTTTTTGACAGGGTTATTTTGTATAGGGAGCGCTCTCCAGTTATTATATACTTTGAGAGAGTGACGTATGTGATATGAAGTTGTTTGCATTTAAAACACGCACAATGGAGATAGTGATGGGATATCTTTTTGCTACTTTGATGTCATGTGGCAGACATTTCTTTGACTATTGTATTTTTGAAAATTGTGAATGGTCTTAACACACTTGTAACTAAAAAGACTGCTACATTGTGCTCCAAAAATCAACTTGAAATTGTTTAAAGTACACTATTCTAAACAGGGAAAATTAAGTTTGCCAGACCTTACAATACTAACTTCTGAAATGTAAAAAATGTTTTCGGCTTTCTTTGACGATTTACCTCAAGTTCAGGAAGTGAAATTAACCAAGTAGAGGTAGCACTTGTTTGAAAGGGGCACAAACGGGGTAAGGCCAAGTTGTATACTCTATAGTCCACATTTCACCCATTAATCATACACCAACATAAAGGGAATCGAAGGTTCATCGAACAATAACTAAGATGTAAAAGGTCTTTTTTTAAAAAGCCAGTATAACTAGTGAAGAAATCTGTGAAAACACGTTTTCTTCAAAATTCTAACTCTGTACAAAATACGAAAATGTATAGTGCCACCATTAGAGCAGATGTAGTGAGGTACATATGTATGCTCTTAAAACCAAATATAAGTTGAACACGCAACTTGTAGCTAGGATATTTAATATATTCCACTTGCAGAGAATCATCACAAGATGAACGGCCGGTTTAAATATCACAAATAAAAAATTGCAAAAAACGAATTCTGACAAGGTGACGCATACATTTACAAAGTACAATGCAGATGTAAATCGGCGGACCCATTGTCTATTGGCTTTACTTTGTCTGTCCGTCAGTCTTACTTCTCTGAGTGTCAGTTTCCATCTGACTGTCTGTCTGTCTGTCTGTCTGTCTGTCTGTCTGTATGTATGTATGTATGTATGTATGTATGTATGTATGTATGTATGTATGTATGTATGTATGTATGTATGTATGTATGTATCTGTGATGTTGACAACTAAAATTTGAATTTTTTCACGCCTTCTCAACTTTGTGCAATATTGTTTTTTGTATCTGTGAGATGGTATTGTAGTTTGTATTTAAGCACTTCATATCCTTGTCTGCGACTGTATTTATATAGGTTTGTGTGAACGTTTGTGCATCAACACTTCGTATCCTTTTCTTGTGGATAGTAATCAAAACGCTGGAGGTGGATTGTAGACGTGTATTGGACAGTATACGTGATGTGTTGCATTGTAGTGTGTGGATAGTATAGAGGGTATTAGATTGTGTATATACATAGTAATCAGACTGCCGCAGCTAGATTATTACGTTTCTGGTGGATCTCGTGTGTTGGAGTCTAGGTAACGGTCTTTAGATAGTAATTAGAAAAATCAGGTGTATGGTTGTGGGAGTGTATCTTTGTATAGTATATTTCATGTGTTAGACTCTAGGTATCTGTGTTAGGATAATAATAATAAAAAAGTATGATGAAATATGTTATTGTATCATTGGATAGTATATGTTATGTGCTGGATTTATAACTTCACCATTCCCATTATTCCCTGTGAAAGGTTTGACCCTGTACAACATTTAACCACAACTCATAATACCATCCTCATGTAAAATCTATGGGCCTTTTTACCATAAGATTTACGAGTGACCCCATCCCTTACCGGCATGGTAACCTTCAGATGCCGATATAATTACGAAATGACCCCCCCCCAATCCCCCTTTACTAGCCGTATACTGAAAAATGGCGTTAAACCATATAACAACAACGTCTGCAGTGTGGCAGTTTATAGTGTTGTCTTGTACTGAGGCATCATACCGCAGACATGTAGCCTCATGTCCCAGTTACATTATCCTGACACCAGGCCGACAAGCTCTGACACAAACCTCATAATGCTCAGTACCAAGTGCGGCAGCCATTAGAACCATTTTCAGAAGTGTTTGGTATGACTTGACAATGGATCGAACCCACGACCTTCTGCATCTGAGGCGAACGCTCTAACCACTAGGAAACCGGATTGGTTGGTCCAGAAAAGAAGTTCTCTTTAACTTTTGGACATATAACAGCTCCAAAACATCATAGGTAACACGCAAGCTAATAAAATGGTTAGTCTAGAGCCCTTTAATGAAACTTTGCATAAATCTGTTTAAAATATCGCTTGTAGATGCGCAGATAAATTAAACGGAGTGTCAATGGAGCAAATATGATTAATATATTTGAAGAAATTAATGTTAGTTCTATTATGAACATGTACGTTGCTTCTAAATGTATGCAGACACCCCCCATCCTTCTTCCTATACCACATAGAGAAAGAAGTGGAAAGGAGACATGCTGCTACATATTATATGCACATCCTTTTAGTGAAAATTGTTTTCTGTTTTCACATCGTGACAGAAGGAAGCAACATTGCTTCATGATGACATAATTTGGCTTTTATCAACTTGATAAAGACAGCCCAATAATGCCTAAGGCACCATTATATTTATATCGCGTAAGAGTAGTATGCCATTGTGATAGTAACCTTTCTATGCAATCGTGAGAGAGTGCATCAAGAAAGTACTCATTTACTGTAAGAATCAAACTGCTCCAAATATACAGCGAATTATTTTTGGTCCCTTATGTAATACCAGATTTGTTTTCATCAGCTGGTACCAAAATATATAGTTTTGTTACCACAGGATGAAATATATCCAGTATTTTAGTACGAAAGAAAAAAGTATTTTATTACTTACCAAACTTGCTTTAGAATCGAAAATTAGAAGATAAGCTCACTCCTTCTGTAAAATTCTCTCTCATCACCACCCCATTTCCTAAATTCACCTATTTTTTACAGCCCGTTTATATAAATGAATGCGACTTAAGAAAGCCGTATGATATTGTTGGCCTAATCTGTCACAATATATTGCATTTATTGTCATTTGTTAAACTATTTGTCCATCACTAAAAACAAAGCAATTCCGATTCAATAATGCATCACAACGATTTTTCGTTGTTGTCAAGGAAGAAAGGGGAAATAATTTAGTTAAACGCGAACAGCGTCTGGTCAAAATTCTCATTCAAAGTTTACTTTCCATATCTGAAATGCAAAGCAGTTTCTATTTATTTGTTTTAGTTCACAATTTACTAGTTTCTGTTGTTGAAGGTATGAGGATATGAATTCTGAGAAGAAAATAATAACATCGAAGTAGCTCTAAACTATGTTAAAACTACTGGTATAGGCAGTAATTTCCACTAAGGTGTATCGGGATTGACCTGTTATCTTTTTGTATAAATTTATTCTCTTCTAGAAATCGCTTCCTTTACAAAATGTCACAAATCTAATCAAACAGGTTCGTAACAGTCTTTGTTCAATAGTTCATAATGTATCGGGATTGACCTGTTACTTTCTTGTACAAATATATTCTCTTCTATAGATCGCTCTCTTTACAAAGTCACAAATCTAATTAAACGGAGTTCGTAACAGCTTTAGTTCCATAGTTCATGACACGAATGGAACAATAATTAGTCGATTTACCAGAAATGTGTGTGTGTGTGTGTGTGTGTGTGTGTGTGTGTGTGTGTGTGTGTGTGTGTGTGTGTGTGTGTGTGATTTAGATTTTTAACGTAGCTTTTAACAATTTTGCAGTCATATCGCTACGATGTCTCCAGTGTGACAGTTTATAATGATGTCTAGCACTGGGGCATCATGTCGCAGACATGTGGCTTGATATCTCACCCAGTCACATTATCCTGACGCCAGGCCGACCAGTCCTAACACTAACCTATTAGTACCATTTTTTTTAAAAAAAATGTCTTTGGTATGACTTGGCTGGGGATCGAACCCACGACCTCCCGCATCCGAGGCAGACGTTCTAACCACTAGGCCACCGGAGAGGTTGAATTAGCAGAAATAGCCTCCTTTACAACAATTACGAATTTAATCCCCTGAGGGTTGAAAACGACCGTAGGACTTAAAAAGTCATTCGTTCAAGAGAATAGCTTTTTCTGGTTTGGAACAAAGGACGCACGTGAGGTCAGCACGTGTTACATTAGTGCCCAAATCTCAGGGTATCTTGAGGTGGTCTAAATAGCGCCGAACCTGCGTGAATCTTTATTGTTGTTGTTGGGATTAACGCCATTTTTCAGCACACGATAGGCTATTCATGGCGGCCAGTATTAATGGTGGAGGAAGAAAGCGGGAAATCAGCTGAAAGAACCACCGACCCACGAAAAGCTACTGGCTGGCTTTCTCACATATCCACATTCGCCAAATCCTAGACTCGAACCCATGCAGACAGAGGTGAGATGGCAGTGATCCGTAACGGACAGCGCTTTAGACCACTCGGCCACTCGGGGCCCCGCGTGTATCTTTATTTCGTCGGTTCCAGATCAGAGAGTCTGTCTATATTTTACCGGTGAAATTCGTTGTGTTCGATTAAGTACCTTTGAAAATTAAAGATTTCTGTGCTAACTTTGTAGTTGCAATATTCTTGTAAGTCCTCTCTTTTATTGTACTACTAATATGTAATGGAATATTTTGTTTTAAAAATTTGATGTTCATTTGTATTTGTATGAATTTACTACCAGCTTCATGGTGAAATATAGCTGAGAATAAAATACTCTTTAGATAATAAAGTATAATGTTCAGTGATCTATTCCAAAGTCGGTATTCTAAATTAAATAGAGTAAATTATATTTCTTTAAAATGATTATTGCATCAGTCGCAACTATTGAATTTATACTCTTTGAATTCAAGCAATATCTAGTCACTTGTATTTTATTCTAAAATGCAGAAAAATATACAAGCGTATGAAGTTGGTAGATCGCAGGAAAATTATTTAATGTGTATTGTAATTAAAAATCTTCAATATGTATTGTATGTGTTTTGCAATATAAAAGTTTTATAAGTTGTATCTCTAGGATGTAGTTTTATATATCTATCTATATCAATAAAGAATTAGTTGGTTCCAGATCAGAGAGTCTGTCTATATTTTGCAGCGAATCCCGCTACCTCTTGAAACTGAAAAAAGAACTTAAGGTTTTGCGAATTGAATCCCAAAATAATCCTAGAATTATTAACACAATTCCAAATATTTTGAAGCTATAAACAAAATTTAGTAGAAATCCAAATTAAGTCAATTTCCGATGTGATGATGTGCCTGTGATGACCTGTATAATGCTGATGTGCTAACAGTCTTTTGTTCAAATACCGCAACATTATTCTAGATTTGAATTCACTATAAATTCCGGGGAATGTCTCTGTTCGAGAATATTTTTTTTATGAGCCCTGTATTTCCCGAGAAAATAATCACTAATTTAAATAATTTGAAGAAATAAAATTCCAGCCTAAGTAAACAATAATCACAACAAAAACAATATTAAGCAGGAATAAATATTTTTTTCAATAATAAGATTAGATAGTCTTCTGCTTGACCTCAGGTCGCAATTAACATTTTCTAAAATGAAATTACGTAGATAAAAATAAGCATCTAGAAAGTTCTTTGTGTTTACATAAAAAAACGTTAGCTATAATTAGCAGTCACACAAAACGTTAGCTATAATTAGCAGTCTCTTACTGATATTATTAAATATAACCTGGACAATGTCATGTACACTAGGTACATTTATGGAAAATCCCGTTAATCTAGAATCAGACAAAAATAGACATATTTACTTCTATTAATAATGATCCTGATAATAAACCCATACAGACAAAAATAGCTTAGGCAAGTATTATTTGTTTATGGAAAAATCAATAATTCAAGGAAACTAGCAAATAAACTTGATGTTATTCCAGATTAAGTCTAACATATACTATGTTGCATTACAATAGCATATTACGAAATAATAAAAAAAATAAAATAAAAAAGAATAACTAGCAAATAAATACGTTAAATCTATTGATGCACGTGAAACATTGGTTGGTGGATTATTGATTAAAAAAAGACAAAATTGGTATGGATCATTGTGTGTGGTCAATTTATAAATAGTTAAAGAAGTGTCGCATAAATTATTCCACAATCGAGAAGGAATGTTAGACTTTTATGATTGCTTTGCAACATTTTGAAGTGTGTATTATTTCAACTTCTTCAAGTAATGTTTTCAGTGCTGACAACTTTTTCCTTAACAAAAAGGAAAACAAAAATCAGAGAATGTTGAATTGAAGTTTGGTGTTGCAGGAATAAAACACTGACATTAGGCAGATAAAGGGAAAATATGATCTGATCCCGTGGCATATACCTATGCAATTTTATTATAGTATCCGAATATTTATTTGACTATTATATACAAAAATGGTATTCTATAAATCGTTTTTTTTAAAAAAAAAGAGAAAATATGTTTTTTATACGCGTGTTGTGTTTTTCTTTTTTACATGATTGTAGATTCTAATGAACATTAATAAACAGCATGTTGTACAGCTAATCTGTGTCTATGATTCTAGATTCTATTTTAAGATAATTGTCATTTACAGGCAACATGTTTACCCGGATCTTCTTCTAGATATTGAATTTTCGACTTCCATTATCTACCTAATGATTTGTCAGGCTGGTTGCTATAATTTAAGTAAACGAACCTGACCATGCTTACGAATTTGATGAAACATTATATTTGAAATGACCTAGATCAAGGTCATTCTGCTGTGTCACATGTCTTGTGTTAGTCTGTATACAAGGAAGAGCAACTAAACAATTCTTATTTCGTTTTTTAACATGTAACTTAATCAGTTTTAGTTGTATTCAGTGATAATTTGAGAGGCTTTATATATATTTATATAATTTATTTAAATTATTTGTTGGAACTACGCAGTTATTGTTGACTTTTTCACTAAAAGACTTTTTTTGGATTACTGAGAATTCATTCAGTTAATCGAGGGCTACTGACATAATAATAATGTAATTCACACGGAAACGTTTATGATGTTAGACTTTTGATAGAACGTTTTGTTCTTTTGGGGTAGTAACTCAAAATATAATAGATTCGTTTTAAAATTTTACTTACTTTGTATTCTAGTAACTAAATTATTTACAGAATTTTACTAAACGTACTGGTTTGGCTTGTTCTGTTACTTAGTTTAAGATCATAGAGTTGTAAGAGCCTTGAAATCTCTCAGAGTAGATTTAATTGTTTGTTTTTTTTCTAAAGTTTTTTGGTGAAACAGTTGAAGACGTTGAAAATATTTTGTTTCTGAAAAATCTGCTCGATCGATTAACGACTGTAAATCTTTTGTAACTGTGACATTTCCGTGAGATTGTGATTCGGAGGTAAATAGAAAGCATCAGTTGTTCATTTTAATGAAACCAAAGTGAGTTTTCGTCCTTCAAAACGAACCAAAGATACAAATGTGATGTCTTTCCAGAAAAGGGTATCCTTTTCATCTTCCTGTTTCCCTTGTCATTTCATGCTTCCTACAAATGTTTGTCCAGCAGTCAATACTGTCAAAGGAGCTATCACCTTTAACAACGGCACAATCAGCATGAGTATAATCCTCGTAGAGCCAGCATTTCTTTTCCATTTTGATGACGGGTATTTTCTTTTTCACAAATTGGCGGAGAAAGTTCGTGCTTTTCTAATCATTGTTTCTCTATCATGGGCAACGGTACTATTCTTTCAAAGCATTCAAAAAACATTCACACGCGGTATTGGTGATTTCTTTCAGCGCTTTTCAGATGATTGTTTTCGCATCGACGGATTGGATTTAATTAGTACTTGAAAAAACCCCAGAGTCTAAATAAACGAGAACTCCTCAAATTAGGAAACATGGGCGTTTAAATCAGGTCTGGAGATGCATCATCATGAATGGAGAAAAAGTAGAAGTAGCAGTAGATACGGTCATCTAGCGGCGTTGTTTCCTGGAATACGAACACAATCTAGCAGCAGTACACTTGTTCTGCATCAGTTGGGGTTTTTTTTTCTAGTTACTTTTCTTCTTGGGGCTTCTCATTTCCTTATGTAAACTTGCGACATCATCACATTTTTCATTTTAGTCTGTTCCCGTATTTCGGCAATTTGGCTCTTTTTCTTTCGTTATAGCTTTGACCGTAGCATGCCATTTTAGTAGGGAATAAGTAATCCCACCTCCTATATAGCTCATTCTACAACGATCGTTTTGTGTAAGTTTGCCTGGCATTGTTGAATCTACCAGTTGTGACAAGCATTTGCTTTTCACGAGGCACTTGAACGATACCTTTTAGCAGTTGACGTGCAGCCAAAGTAAACCATCGTATCATGTTTTTGAGACTGGCTTTTAATAGGTATTCATTGACGTGTGCATTTTTATTGTACTGATGCACCAATTAATTTGAGAGTGAAGCGATATCAAGTTGAGCACTATTTAAGAGAAAAACAGTGCACGAAGTTTTGCATTTTCAGACAGACGCAAAAGATGACATGAAAATGACAAGATCTATTCTTGGCACCAATGGTGGAACAAATTGGTGCGAAATCACACATAATAAAGCCAATGCATGCCTAACAGTTTGACAAGGAATTGCACTTGAGATTTGTTCCTTAAACCTTTAAACAACACCACATAGTGTGCATTTAGACTGATGGCGTGACGTGCTTTACTTTATAGAGCTAAATTTTGTGTAATGCAAATAATTCTAGTAATAGGCTGATGACCCTTTCGTGTGAATCGAAGTTTAATTTCTTTTTTTGTGTTTTCTAACATGCCATCGGAGACGAAAAAATGTGTTTAATTAATGTCAGACACGATCACAATTTTTTCTATAATGAAATTTTACCCAAAGTAGATATGTTGAAGACAGTAAAGAAAAGACTGTTGAATAAATGTCTTGATGAAAAAAAAAATGATTTCATGACATGGATGTTTGCAAAACTTAAGAAAGCTAAAATATAATTAGCGTAAAAATAAGACATGATATTTTGAAACTAGAG